GTATCCATCATTATCTCGGCCCACATTGACCTTCAAATCACTGACCAATTAATTGACCCGGAAGGTCGTTACATCCTTCTAAAGGGCAAGCTACATAACACTCCGATCACCATTGCCAATCTCTACTGCCCCAACGCTGACCAAGCCCATTTCCTTCGCAAAGTGTGCTCCTTACTGCAGGATTTTACAGAGGGTAAGCTTATTCTAGGTGGGGACTTCAACGTACCGTTTAATCCCCTCCTAGACTCCTCCACTGGCAAATCATCGGTCCCCTTCCGTAGCTTGCGCTCCATTAAGAAACTCCTGACGTCCCTTAACCTTCATGATACCTGGAGATTCCTCCATCCCACAGTGAAGGACTTTACCTTCTTCTCCCACCCACACTCTAGCTATTCTAGATTGGATTATCTCTTCCTTTCTCAAAGAGACCTGCCCAACTTGGTGGGTGCCACAATTGAACCTATGATCCTCTCGGACCATGCCCCGATATCCATGACCATCACGCTCCCTCTACAATCTTCCCGCTCTCATGTATGGAAACTGAACCCTTCCACGTTGGGAGAACCTACCCATATATCGACGATCCAAAACAAGCTCCAGGAATTCTTTGCCTTGAATGCCAACACTTGTTCTTCCCCACTGATGTTGTGGGAAGCACACAAAAGTGTAATTAGAGGAGAATTCATCCGTATCCAAGCCCTCCTCCACAAACGGAATAAAGCCAGAAGCGCCGCTCTACTTGCACGTATAGCCACCTTAGAGGAACTACACAAACGATCCTTAGCCCTGTCTCACTTGTCGGAACTGACCCAAGCGCGTAATGATCTCCTTCAACTAATCCACGAGAACACCAAAAAGGCCTTTATATCCCGCAGCAAAATATATTATGAACATAGTAATAAAGCAGGGAAGTTCCTGGCAAGGGCCTTGAAACGCCAAAAGGCAACCCGCACGATCTCTCAAATCGTAGACGCTTCAGGCGCCAAACATTTGGATACACCACAGATAATTTCCCAATTCCGGTCCTACTATGGAAAACTTTACGGCATTGCTGCCCAACACCCCTCTACCCCCGCCCACAACACCAGATCAGAACTCATAGACTCCTTCTTGACAGAACATAGCCCCCCCTTTAAGCAACGCATCTAGAACAGACCTGGAAGCCCCCTTCACAGCCCAAGAAATCCAGGTAGCGATATCACAACTGAAGCCAGGGAAGAGCCCTGGTCCCGACGGCTTTACATCTCATTACTATAAAACCTTCTCGGAACATCTTATCCCTCACTTCTTGTCCGCTTTCGACCTGACCCCCAGACAACCACACGAATCGGTCCACTTTCTGGAGGCCCATATTGTCGTGCTGCCGAAGCCCGGAAAGGACGATTCCCTATGCGCAAGCTATCGCCCCATATCCTTGCTCAATATTGATGTTAGGCTACATGCTAAAATACTCGCTAACCGCTTAGCTTCTCTCCTCCCCGACATAATCGACGGTGATCAAGTAGGCTTTATAACGGGACGGGAAGCACGTGATAACACCACGAAAGCGATAGGCCTTCACCACTGGATTAAAAGCAGAGTCCAGGCAGGCTTCTTCCTATCTACAGATGCTGAGAAAGCATTTGATAGGGTTGCGTGGGATTACCTCTTCGCTGCCTTGGCTCACCTCGGCGTGGGCCCCCGCATGCTGGACCGCATAGCCCTATTGTATTATAATCCGACTGCGAAGTTCCGGGTAAACGGCGCACTGTCGGAGGGCTTCCCCATTCTCAACGGTACGCGGCAGGGGTGCCCCTTATCTCCCCCGCTTTTTGTGATGGCATTAGAGCCCTTTCTCCGGAAAATACGCTCGGATCCCAACATACATGGGTTTCATACACCTTACAAAGAATTTAAGGTGGCTGCATTTGCGGACGACTTGCTGTTTTTCTTGACACAGCCGAGAATATCGCTCCCCAATCTACTAAGTGCATTCCAGGATTTTGCATCAATCTCATTCTTCAAAATCAACCTTTCCAAATAAGCCGCATTAAATGTCTCCCTTCCTGATGACCTGGTCCAGTTCTGCAAACTACACTTTCCCTTTCGTTGGGCGGACACCTCCATTACCTACCTGGGCATTGAACTTCCCACTGCCTTGCAGAAGCTATACTCCCTTAATTTCGCTACTCAATTGTCCCGATTACTACTAGATATGAAGGAGTGGAACAGGGGGCTATACTCCTGGTTTGGCCGTGCAGCAATTCTCAAAATGACAGCCATGCCACGACTGTTGTACTTGTTCCAGATGGTGCCCATCGCTCTTCCCAAAGCCTTCTTCTCCTCGGTTAATGCCCTTTTTCGTACCTTTCCTTGGGAGGGTAGGTCACCACGTATCGGATTCTCAACTCTAACACGCTCAAAATCCTCTGGAGGTATAGGGCTCCCGCATGTACAGAATTATTATCGGGCTTGCCATTTAACGCGCATTATAGACTGGACCAAGCATGGCCCATATAAAGAATGGGTCCTGATAGAGCAGCTCCAACTAGGTTCACCAATAGGCTCTCCTACGGAATCTACACCATTATGGACATATATGCAACCTCGCCATTATCTCAATGATAGGCAAATTAAACAACACTTTACACTCCCCCTTACCGCCCTTGAACAGCTCTGCACGTCTCCGGGCAGAATCACACACACAGTATCGGAGTCATACTCCTTACTGTTGAGCTCTTCCACACTGTCACCCACGCCATCTACTAAGAAATGGGAAGCAGACCTATCTACCAATCTCACCCCACAAGACTGGGAGAGGATGGATGTACTCTTGCTGAAAGGCTCAATGAACGTACAGATCCAGGAAACCAATTACAAGTTAAGGTCGAGATGGTACAAAACCACTGATCTACTACACTGTATTTTCCCTAACACGCCTAATACCTGATGGCGCTGTTCACAGGAAGTTGGCACGCTCCTCCACATTTGGTGGTCGTGCCCCCTGATCGCAACCTTTTGGTCAAATACTCTCGCACATAAGAACTATAACAAGTGTCACACTAGAATTCAAGGCAATCTCTCCTACTATTTCACTTCGATGCCTCCCACCACATTACCAAGAAATCTCAGGTAATACATCTACTGAATGCGTCCAAAACCGTGATCCCCAGACATTGGAAGTCGACACATCCACCGACAATCAGAGAATGGCTAGCACGGGTAGACACTGTGGCAAACATGGAAGAGCTAATTGCTTATGACAGAGATACCACACCTCAATACCTGAAAACCTGGACAGCCTGGTATCTATTCAAGGGCACGGACTTATACGTTTCCCTTGTTCAGCCATAAACGGCTCTCCCACTTCTGAGGACCTAACACCCCTTCAATACCCATGACCCCCTACACCTCAGCCAGCCTCTAACACACATCCTAGCCACTTCGGGGTACACAGGAGGCGGGGCGGGAACAAAGGTAAGAAGGTCTCCCACTTTCCACTTCTCTCTTCCACTACAGACTACCTCTCCATGACCCTCCCTTCCCTCTCCAGCTCTTCATACCTCCCATCCTCCCTCATTCTCCCACGGATTTTTCTTTTTTTCTTATACCATACACCCTGATATCTGTGCAAACCACTGGACATACCTTTAAAACCTCAGCTCATAGCCGGGACTCCCCGTAGCGTAGAGCCCACTGCTTCCAAGGGAGGACTATACAACTTTTTAGCAACGTTTGGGCATACCAATTTGGTTTACCACACCTTTACCTCCCAAGGATGTACGTCGAGGCCTGCCGCCAATGCACCGTGATCAGGATACTCTCTTACCGATCTCACCAGAGCTGGTCACCCTGGATCTTCCCCCCTCACCTCCACTTATAATATAGAATACACTTTATGTTAGCTACATTATTTTTATGTACTTGCTATTGCGTAACTGTTTATATTTCTTATCACATAAATAAAAATTTACATGTGAAAAAAAAAAACTGCGCTGTAATAAAGCGGACTAGCTTATATAAAAATAAAAAAAAATAATCAGCCCACTAATTGATAATGAAAATAATGAAAAAGCCCTTCTGCCTTCCTTTAGGGTTGCCTGAAAACTCTCCTCTTCAGGGTACCTCTTAAAAACTGTACATCTACATTTACTCCTTCAGCCAGCTCAACTCCCGTAGTTATTACCTTCTGTATCATTTGCCCCTCCTTGTAAGCTCTCACGAGCGGGTCCTCTAATCCTTTTGTATGGTATTGTACTTGTACCATCTTCCCATATGTTGTAAAGCGCTGTGCAAACTGTTGGCGCTGTATAAATCCTGTATAATAATAATTTCCAATAGTTTGTGGAGAGGGGACCATAAGGCTGGGTTCACACCAGTGCAAGCATTACCACACTTGTGGCACATTGTGAATGCGTTGGACAGTTCTGCGATAAAAAGACACCTGCATGATTTTAACACAACTCAATTCAGCGCACAGGTGTGAACTACACCTACTGAAACTAGGCTGTTGCATTGTCCACCACTGCTCAACGGCTGTAAAGTGAACCAGCCTTAAGCTAGCCATACAAGATTGGATTGTGGCCGATTAATGCTGAATTGTCCAAAATACAATCCATGGGTGTCCCTGTCGGCACCACCTGACTTTGACAAACTTCAATCTGAAAATCAAATTCTCAGCTGAACAATGACTTCCGATCTGAGTGTCACGCGTGTTTGTTTTGTGAACTGCCTAACTTCCCATACTGTCCTTGCAGGAGATGAGACAGTTGGATTTCTGAAGTAGATTCTGTAAAACTGGTGTTTTACAAACGAAAATTAAACAATGCATGTACTTGTATCATAATGCTAACCATAAAGTGGTGATCTAATGGTTTGATATCTGATATCATTCAAATTATATAATGTATGCCTCATAGACACTGAGATTGTAACATGTTATAAGAATAATATGCATCATACATGAGGTTCTGCCAGCTTCATTTATTAACTCTGCTTATTTGGCTGTTTTTCTTTTGCAGACAGTAGTAATACCAGGTCCAGTATTAAAACCTTGGCAGAAGCTGGAAGATTTGGAATTAGAGGGAGAAAACCCTGCACCAATGCAGTAGAACAAGTAACAAGCACTATTCCTCTTTCGTGAATTAGTGAAACCTCAATTTATTGTTAATCTTGGGACCTGCCACACAAACAGCAAATACTCCAAATGGTGGAAATTTGTCCAAATCGCACATCTTCTGCGGTTCCTTCTTTAGAAATTTGTATGGGTTTTTTTAAAATATATTCTAAATGTTATATTACCACTGGTACAGAAGGTTTCTGGGGTCATTAGGACATTTCCAATTGTTCTGCTGCAGATTTGTTTCTGTACTCAATTTTAAGTGATTTAGCAGAAAGCTCTAGGAAAGTGGTAATAAAACTTCTATTCATTCTTGTATAAACTGAACAGTTTGTTAAAATAAATACTTATTTTGAGTGAGCACATTTTGGCTTATTTTAATGCTATCATATTTTTATTATTATTATTTACTTTTACAATTGTATATTCTTGCTGTACCATTTGTTTATAACTATAACTCACTGCAATCACTCAGCCTTCCTAATCGATGTTTGCTGGTATAAAGCATCTACTAGAGTGTGGGCATTTTTGTTTATGACTTATAAACATGCATTGTAAAGCGAAATGTTAAAGCACAGCCATTGTGCAATAACACAGCCTGCAAATATAGATATCGTATTGTGTGTGTGTGTGTGTGTGTGTGTGTGTGTGTATATATGTATGTATGTATATATATATATATATATATATATACTGTATATATAAAAAATTTTAGAGGAAAACTGCATGCTCAGTGACAATATAGATCCTTTTAGTCCCCCAACTCACCCATCGAGCACATGCAGATCCTTAGCTATGTATGGGATCATCTGTGACCGCCCTATCCTGGATCTCAGGGTGGCCTGTAAGTGTTCTCCACGGGGGACGCATATGATCTTGTTGCTTTTTCAGTGTCCCCCAGGCTGAAAGCATCCCAACGACGGCGGACAGACAATCTGTCAATCCTGCAAGTGGTAGCCTGCATGGTTAAATAAAACAGTAAGACACCACATCAAAGACAAGAAGATAGCATTTATAAAATACAAGATGGAGGGGACTGCATTGGCATTCCAGAGCTACAAGCAATGCAATAAGAGATGTAAACATGAAATCCGGGCAGCTAAAATAGATTATGAAAAGCATATCGCCACAGTCAGTAAACAGAACCCACAAACATTCTTCCAATATATAAACAGTAAAAGGTTAAGAAAAGAGCAGGTCGGCCCAATAAAAGATAAAAACAGGAGATTAATCACAAATGACAGGAAGAAGGCTGAATTATTGAATTAATTTTTCTCCTCGGTATACACAAGAAAAAGACGGGTTTAATGGAGATAAGAAGGTGAGTAGCTCAGGCCGTAAAATACCGCAGTGCTTGGCAGCCGGGATTCAACAAAGGCTTGAAAACCTTAATGCAAATAAATAATTAGGACCAAATAACCTGCCCCCCAAGGTACTTAAAGAACTCAACTGGTTATAGCGAGACTATTATTCCTCATCTTCAAGGACTCCATAATGACTGGTAAGGTACAAAGTGACTGGCGGAAAGCTACAGTAGTACCAATATTCACAAAAGGTTCAAGATGCCAACCTGGGAACTATAGACCAGTCAGTCTAACATCAATAGTATGCAAACTATTTGAGAAGATGATAAAGGACTATTTAGTGGATAAGTGATAATCAGCATGGATTTAGGAGGGATCGTTCTTGTCAGACCAACCTACTGACATTCTACGAGGAGGTGAGTAGAGATCTGGATAGAGGGAAGCCTGTGGATGTGGTATATCTGGATGTTTGCCAAAGCTTTTGACACGGTACCACATAAACGCTTGGTACACAAGCTGAGGTCTATGGGCATAGATTTAATGGTGTGTCCATGGATAGAGAACTGGCTACAGGAACATGTCCAGAGAGTATTGATAAAGGGCTCTTTTTCAGATTGGTCTATGGTGGATAGTGGCATGCCCCAGGGTCCTGTGCTGGGCCCCACACTGTTTAATCTGTTTATTAATGATATCGGGGAAGTATTAACAGCCATGTTTCGGTGTTTGCTGATGATTCTAAATTTGGGAGGTCAATAGACACGGACTTAGACACTATAACATTACAGGAGGACCTGGATAAAATAGAGGATTGGCAACCATATGGCAGATGAGGTTTAATGTTGAAAAATGTAAAATAATGCATTTTGGGGTTAAAAAGAGGCAAGAAGAATACACATTATTGTGTACTCAACTAGGGAAGTCAGAAATGGAAAAAGATCTGGGGGTCATAGTAGACCATAGGTTGAATAATAGTTTGCAATGCCAGGCTGCGGCAAACAAAGCGAGCAGAGTACTGTCTTGTATTAAAAAGCGAATGTACTGTAGAGACAAAGCAATCATTTTGCCACTTTACAGATCACTGGTTTGGCCTCATCTATTGTATGCAGTCCAGTTTTGGTCACCAGTACACAGAAACGATGTCCTGGAGCTGGAGAAAGTCCAGAGAAGGGCAACAAAACAAATTAAGGGGCTGGAGGACCTAAACTATAAGACAAGGTTACTAAATTTAAACTTGTTCACGCGAGAAGTGAGGAGATTAAGAGGGGATATGATTTTTATGTACAAAATGTTTAGTGGTGATGGCAACATCAGCAATAAACTTTTTACAGTAAACTCGGTAACAAAGATAGAGGCCACCACCTAACACTGGTGGAGAAAAGATTTAAAAGGGGCTTTTTTTTTTCAGTCAGAGCAGTTAAAGTCTGGAACTCGATGCCACAAGAAGTGGTATCAGCTGAGAGTATTGAATCATTCCAAAAGCATTTCGATACCTTCCTCAGCGACCGCAACATACAGGAGTACAGGTACACTTAAAAACAAGGACACACAGGGACTTGTGTACACATATACATATGCACAATCACGCACAGACACACAAAGGTTGGACTTGATGGATCTGCATCTTTATTCAACCTCAAATACTATGTAACTATGTAAGTGCACTCACCACGTTGTCAGGCTGCACAGTAACAGACCGCAGCCAGCAACCTACTGTATTACTATTTGGGGGTCTTTGTCGGCTGTTTTGGGGTCGGATTTGCATTGCCCCAGCTTCCCTTCCATGGGTGCACACACCACGTGGTCGGGTTGTACAAAAATTGAGGCCACGGCCTGCTGGGGCTGAGCGGTGCAGCCTCCATGTTGGCTGTGGGCTCTTCCTTATTGCGATGTCACTTTCTCTCTTGGGTGCTCATACTACCAGTTGGGCTGTGCATAATTCAAGGCCACAGCTTGCAGCCTGTTGATGCTGCAAGACCCGCCTGCCTCCTGCCCTTCTCTTTGTGACATCACTTCCTCCCAAAGGGTAATCGTGCTACGGGTCGGGCACTACAAGCACGAGGCCACGGCCTGCTGGAGCTGGTAGCAACGGCTGCCATTTTTGCTGTGAGTTCTGCCTTTCTCTTTGTGAGGTCCCTCGGACATGGGAGAGGTGGCACACGCTTGTCCTGTTGGCAGGTATCGCCATGGCTTCCCAAGAGGGGAGGCCTCCGGGAGTGGAGGGCCCAGGGCGTTTAGATGCCTTGAGCCCCAGACCGAGCCCCCATATGCTAAAAGCTTGCTTTGCGCAGGGCCTAGTTACTAATCTACAGAACAGTGAAGCACCTGCTGTCAGGGCAGTGAGTGTAACTTGTGCCTGTTTTTCACATTGGTATATTGCTGTTTTTCTTGCAAGCTGTTTGCAGCAGACAATACATTAATGCCTTTTGTTCAGACTGGGTGTGTCCTCAGACCCCTTCTCCTTCCTTCAGGTGGGGGTTCATCCTCGGATTTGTTCTGAGTTTGGACATGGTCAACAGACTTGCAGGACCTGTGACACATCGGGGGGGGGCGGGGTTCAGCGGCCCTGTAGCTTCTGCTAGTGCATTTTCCCAGTTTGGCCTTCTTTTGGTATGCTCCTTCGAATTGATTTGGGAACACCGGCGTATGCATTCACTTTTGCTGGGGATATGAGCTTTTCCTTTTGTTGGCAGCCTCCTACTCGTATAGGTTAGGATATTTTACTGTCCCTGTGGATCTGGGGATGTCCTGCCTTAAGTGGTCATGTTCTGCTTACGCAGAAGGACCTGCATTGCCTTTTTCTGTTATGGCACACAAACAGGTCCTGCGGGACTACTTTTATTGTCTAAAATGTTTGTCTACCAGGTCCTGGACGGAGATATCCAGTCGGGGTATACCTGTCTACATGAAGGCTATCGTGGCGACCCAATGGTGGTGCAGGCTGTTGCCTACTCATTGCATATTCGGATGTATCTGCAGTCTTGCCTGCATTGTGAGAACGCTGTCTGCATGTGTCTTTTGTTTCCTGAGGGAACTCAAAAGACACATGCAAAAGGAACCAGTAGTGGTTGTAGAATGTGCTCTGCTTTGCGGGTGCCTTAAATTACTGATGAACAACTGAATCTTAAATAAGTGTTGGGTTTATTTACAAATAGGGATATACATACATTCTAATTACAATTAAGGGAAATTGGAGAGGGGTCCGTAGGGATAGGAATTGAGGTTAGGATCCTTCAGCTAGCAACACCATTCTCTATCTCTGTCTCTCCGCAGAAGGCTGCCACAAGGTTGCCAGCAAGCGCCGGACCTAAAACGCCCGAGTCAATTTGAAAAAATGTAAGTGTCGTTATCGGTTTTTAGTATTGGGACAGAAGTCAGTTATAAAGCAGAGTACAGAAGTCAGCAGTGTAACGCAGAGTGCATTGGTCAGTTGGTGCAACACAGGGTGCAGAGGTCAATAATGTAATGCAGAGGTCATTGGTGTAAAGCCGAGTGCATTGGTCAGTGGTGAAACACAAAGTGCGGAGCTCAGCAATGTAATGCAGAGTGCGGATGTCAGTAATGTATTGCAGAGTTCGGAAGTCAGCGGTGCATGTAACGCAGAGTGCGGAGGTCAGGTGTGCGTGTAACGCAGAGTGCGGAGGTCAGGTGTGCATGTAACAGAGTGCAGAGGTCAGGTTGTGTGCATAAC